GACTGTCTATTTTAGCCTTGGAGGTGACAAAGGATGAGTGCAGTGAACACTCTTATGGAGACCAAAACTAATGTATGGCAGCAGAAAAGAAAGGTTTTGAGTCTGATTTTTAATTGTTTGTTTTTCAAAGACTGGAACTGTGGTAAAATATGGGATTCTGTGATTTCAAAAGGTGCAACAAAAGGGTAAGAGTTTGGGAATGAATAAAACAAGGTTTTAGGGACTGGTTCTGGGCATTGTGAATGGTACTCGCTCACAATAACTTTCTTGGTTTAGTCATCTTTTGCAAGTTAAGGTGCTAGATTTACAGAATTGTGATGCTTGAGGGTTTGACAGGGATTAATACAGATCCAGTTTTGTGGTTTTAGAGGCTAAAAGTACATAAATTTTAAAGAGAAAAAAGAAAGAAAGAAAGAAAGAAAATACCCTCTAGGCATCATTCCTAGATTCCATCAGCATCACAAATAGGCTAAGAAGTATGGACATGGACGCAGACATGTTGATACAAGAAAAATGGGGGCCCAGACATGGTAGAGACACAATAATAATATATATACATTTGCTATGGAGATTATTACATTCACAAACAATCAAAATTAAAAATCCCACTCTTAAAACTCTTATCGTTTATTTTTTATTTTTATCTTTATGGACACCTATTAATTATTTAAATCTAAGCAAAAAATAATAAATATTCACCATCCAACATTTATCAAAAGCACCAAAGAGGGGAAAAAAAAACTAGTTAGTGTGTCCCCTACGTGTCCCTGAAAGCAAATTAATTAAATAAAGGGACATGCCACGTGGCGTGTCCCCATGTCTAACACCGCTTGTTTTGGAGTGTCGGCGCTTCATAACAAATAGGCTTAGAATATATCCAATTTTAAAGAACATTCAAAAGCTCTAAAGATTCTTTTATCCATATTCGTCATTGAATCATAAGTATAACATGGCGTTTATCTAGAATCCTAAGGACTCCTCGTCGTAATAAGATTTGACTTTTATTTGGAAACTACTATTCTTGACTTCCAAAACTCTCTAAACCTAAATAAGACCACAAATAGAAACCTTATTACATTGACTCATATGACGACTCGTGGACAACGCTACAACCCACATCTAGATGCTTTGTAAATTATCGAAATACTCCTGACATGAAGTTTATTAAAAACTAGCTACCATTTAAACCACAAATAGGACTCTACTAGAACTAGTAACGTGACTATGCGTGGTTTTTATAGGCTTCACGATTAAGTCATGCCTATTTCCAAATATTTCTACGTTTTTGAATTTACTTTTTTTTGAGCTTCTTGTCGCTTGCATCATAAGTATTATGGGGACATGGTAAAATATTTATATTTCATAATATTATTCTTTTATTTTTTGGGGTAAAATGGTGCTTACATGCTGGTAAAGATCATTTTATGCATAACATGAGAGTTTTATGCATAGTTTTATGGTAAACTTGAATTGCTAGATGTGTTTACTAGGGGAATATCCAACTGCACATGTACCTGCCAATGTTTGACACAAGTACTTCAAACATTTAGAAAAGTCCATGTAACAAACGTTAAAAGTAATACACAACTTTTTGTCAACTTTATATAACTCGTTATCCTAAAATCAATTTTGATTTTCTATTTGAAGACCTTGACCTCTAAAACCTAACTAAATCTAATTAGAAACCTAAATAAAAACCTAATCACATAATTTGACCCTCCATTTAGGACCCCTACAACCCATGTAACCTAAGGCTAATAACTTGACTACTCATGATTCCAATTAGGCCCAACTGGATTTGGCTGGAAACAAATCAAATTTTGAACTTTATCATTCTTTTAACTCTTTCTTCTTCTTATTGTTTGCGTTGCTTTGTTTCTTTCTCCGAGATACACCAAAATGCAAATTGGGACTTGTCCTTCTACAAGTAAATTGGCAATCATCCTTTGAAGCAATTTAAGAATAATGCCCATGTAGGTACATGAGTCCTGACCACCATGCCATTGTTATGTTATAAGACATGTTATACCTCGGCAACTGTATCATTCCCCCTTTGAGCCACTATGACACCTCCAAAAAGGGATGCACCATATCTACCATTTGTCCACGCATGATGCATCCCTTGGGACCTACACCAAAGGTTGCAAAGTTACCTTAGTTTTAGTAAAAATTTATGTATTATTGATTGATGATTGTTACAAGATTGATTGATTTGTGTTATGTATTACAACTCCTATATATAGAAGAGAAGGTGGTAGTAGGTGTAGTGTAGTGGAGGTGGTAGGTGAAGTGGGTGCTAGTGGAGATGGTAGGTGGAGGAGCAAATTGGTAAATTCTAACAGTTTTCCTTTATTTCTTAACAATGGGGGTTCCTATTTTCGATTGGGCTAGATCCCTTACGCTCCCTACCCTAATGTTTTAAAAAGCTCTAGGCGCATTGAGGTGCTAAGGTATCTTGGAGCCTAACCATGAGGCGCAAGGCAAGGTGCGTGCCTCACCAAGGAAGGCGCAAGTTGTAGAAGATAAACAAAATTTTAATATAGGCAAAGTTTTCAACATAAGTAAATGTTTCAAGAATTTCAAAAAACATAGAACAGCATTCAATATTCCAAAAACTATAAAAATAACATTAAACATTCCAAAAATTTCTCAAAAGTAACATTCAACCTTACTTTACCTAGTACTATTTGTCTGCATTCATCAACTTATTGATGTGATCCTTTTTTTTTTCTTTTTTGATAAGACTCGCACTGTATAGTATCTTAGTGGTTTTGATTTTAAACCGAGACCAAATTGTGTGATACCTTCAATCATTGGCCCAAAACTATCATAATTCACTATATTGAAAGGACTCTCACATGTCGTATAGCCATCTTGCAATCCTAGAGCTTTTGCTCAATGCCTAGGACTTTTTTTTTTAATATGAAAATTGGGTTTACATTTTATATTAATGGGGTTGTGATTCCTTGTGGCTACATATACAAAGAACAAGGATGGAGCAAAATTTTAAATGAAGCACATAAGGCGTGCGCCTTGTGCCTAAGCCTAAGGCGCACGCCTCAAGCACCTCAGATGCGCCTTTCCTACAATGCCTTGCCTTAAGCTGCCCGAGGTGCCTCAGGTGTGCCTTGGGCCTAAGTGTGTGCTTAGGCTTACCTTTTAAAACACTGTGCTACCCTATATGAAGTGGTTCACCATGCATTGCACAACACAATTGCATATCCTTACTCCTCTAGCATACACGTCTCTGTAGCCACCCTCCTGCTAAGGTTGCTTTTGGCTCTCTTCTCTCAAACCTCCGGTGGTCTCCAGCCACATCAGTTCTTGCCATCTTGCTAGAGGGCACTCCTCAGCCCCCCTCACCGTCTAGAACCTGCACCTCTTTACCAACTCAAGTAGTATGATATTTTAAGCTTAGAGGCATTTGAAAGCCTTTGTGAGGTTTATTTGAAGGAGAAACAAATTGAAAAAATGGTTTTTACTTTTGTTGAATTTGAAAGACTACACCAAATCACATGAATCGTATAATAATCATGACTATTAAGATTCGAGCACAATTCTGATAGATTCATTAAGATTTGTTATCATATGAGATTCAGGCAATATATTTGAATTGAATAGGGGTAAAATTGAATCGTCATAATATTCGAATCATGAATCGTAAGATTCTTACAACTAGGGACTTGACAATTTGACCGAAAACTTGCTAAACTCAGCTATTTAATTCTATTGATGTTTGTTATTGCTTTTGACTTTCTGTCCCTTGTTGCTCCAATTTGACAAGCTCATTCCATTTCATGTTTTAAAATAGTACAGTCTGTTTTTCTATAGTAAATTAGTTTTGTTTTGCTTCTGTATTATTTTAGATAAATTGAGTGACATGGTTTTGTACCCAAACTTCCACGGTATCACAAATATTTGATTATGAAAATTTTCATTTATCCAACTTTTTCTGTATATGATTGTCTTCTGTGATGCTTTTGAAATACAGTATGTATTTATTTCATTCTTAACAATTCCTGAAATTACTATGCAATTTTCATATTTTGCCTTTTCTCATTTCTTATCGAGTTTGACATTGTTATTTCCAAATTTTGGAAGCTTTCAATTTGGTTTCAGTCTAAATTAAAATTCTAGTAGTTTTTGTAAGAGCAGATTTACAATTTCTCTAGAGTAGTTGATGACATTTGGTTAGTTGGGGCAAGAAATAAAATCTCTGAATAAGATCCAGTGAGCTATAAATTTCATTATTTGGTTAACTATAGCTTTATTGCCATCCATAGGAATATGTAGATATTTGTCATTGTGTTTAAGCATTGCTCGATACTGCTTGTATAAATAATTAATTATCTTGAGCTAGTATACTGTTTCCACCACCTCTTGCAATTAGGTTGTTTTTCTTTCTTTTTCTCTTCCTTTTTTCTTTTGGCGAAAAATGATTCATGTAGTCAACCCTACTTGATTGGGACACAATACCTAGTTTAGTTTGGTTTTTTGTTGCGGAATCCATTCATTAATATCTTCAATTTCCTTTTTGGGGGTATTTAACCTTTTAGAATGTTGGCGCATATTGCATAAAACAATTTTGACTGTAAAATAATTGAACTTGAGAAGTTTATACATAATTTGTCATGAGTGTACTATTGAAAGGTTTACACAAAGTTTATTTGGTAATATCAATGGTCTCACTCCTAGTGATTTGGAGAATTTTTGTATTCGACTTGCTTGAAATTATAAAATTTTGGTGAAACTGGACATAAATTCTTTGGGTATTCTTAGCAAAATGGGTTGTTGCATTTAATGCCTTCAGGGATAGCCTACTTGTCAAATTGAAAAAAGAAAAATAAAACGAAACCTTATTAACATTATCATATGTGATAACATTATTATTTTGGACCATTGTTCTTGTTTAATTCTTACTATGCTTAATTTTCTTGAATGGGCTATTGCTAATGAGTTTAGCTAAATTGGTTTCTATATGTGTATTAATTTTAAATCAGGTACACAAAAGCCCTCGAAGTTATCAAGAAGCTTCACAAGGAGCAGGCTCAAGAGATAAAAACGTATAAGCTAAAATTGGAGAATCTTCAAACATTGAAAGATGCTGCATACAAGGTTTCTTTTGTTTGCTTTTTTTATTTTCATTCAACAGATTGTTGAATGAAATATTTGTGCACATAATGCAATCTTGTTTTTGTTTTTCATGTTATAGTACAAGTTTCTTATAAGTGTGTATCTAAGTTAAGTTTTTATAAGGCTAGTTGCCTTTTGTTGGCTGTAGTGGAGTTAAATCAAGTTTTAATGTACTCTATGGAGTATGGATCGTGATTGCATTCTTTGTAGTCTTGGGGGAGCACAGAAGATTTGGGAAATCCTTGTTCTGACCTTACAATAGGAAGAAGTATGGTACTCAATATAGTTTTTTTGTCCTTTCTTCATCCAACTACGGGATTCAATGTGGTTCACAAACATTTCACAAACAGGTGATCCCTAATGTTTGTAACTTTTATGTTTTGGCTAAGAGATCCTTGATATCGTAGCTTATCCTAAAGAAAGTAAATTTATTACTTATTTTTTGGTTAAAAAAATATGCAACAGCCAGAATATTATGAACTGATTAGCTAAGTTGTTTGTGAAAGAGTCGGAGATTTGAAATGGAATTGGAAACTTTAATGTGGATTTGTTCCAAGAAAGTGGGGTACATGGATGATATGGATTTTAACAATATATCTTAGGAGGAATCAGAGCGGTTGGAGAGGCCTTTCACGAAAGAAGTTGGTAGTTCCCCTAATGGCCTTAATGGGGATTAAGTTCCAGGATTTGACGTGATGACATTGTGACTATCAGTTTCTTTCAAGCACATTTACTTATTATCTCTCTAGCTGTTCTATTTAGTCATAGAGGCGCTCAATTGGATGATTAGGTTACGGTAGTTGATGAAATCAATCTAGGGAATGGATTTCATTAGAGAGAGAAAGTCCCAAATTGGTGTAAAAAGCGCCAAAGCTCTAATTACGATATCAAAATATCATCAAAAGTGACTATCAAAGACCCTAACCACCTATTTATAGGCTATTGACAACTACGCAGCCTAAAAACATAACAACCATACTAATACTAACTGCATCAGACTTCCCCCTCTAAAGAAAACAACTTGTCCTCAAGTTGGGACTTGAACAAAATGACTCAAGACAACGACATCAACAAAATGACTAAAAAACACTGACTCATGGAAGCATAATGGACTTGCAATGAATAAGACTACTTAGTTGCAAGTCCTTATTCCAAAATGCTCCCTAACAAATACCCCTACTTGAAAGTGAGTTTTCGTTTATGCACATCCACTGAAGCCATATTCAAATGCAAGTAGACCACCCATATAGCACGCCTTTTTGGAAACAAGATGTCATCAAAGTAGTTTTTCATACTCGCTTTCAACATACACCAAGACCCATTCTTCCTAGAAGTTAGAGCAAGCACTAGATAACCACTTAAGCTATTGTCCCATGAGTGTTTCTCCTTGGCAAAATTGGCTTAGGAAACAAAGCTGGCCTAAAGTCCACGTCAACACAAAGTGGGACAACTTGCTTCGGAAGCAACACAAGATGTACTTCTCGAGAGCAAATATCTTCAAACCCCTTTTCACCAACTCTATGACATTCCTCCACAACCTCATTTGAAGCTAGAAAAGAAGTGGAAAGTTGGGTTTCCACCACATCTTGTTGTATGGGAAGCGACATGGGAACAAAACTTGCTTGATTTTCAATAGCATCTTCACTCTCTTACAAGGTCATCCTCATCATCATAATGTTCTAAGGTTGGAACTCCCTCTTATTCACAAACATCAACTTCCTCTTCATATTCACAAGCATCAAATTCCTCATAATCTGGTTCTATGTTACTTAGAACATGAAATGGGAACAAGAACGCAATATGCCACATGCTTTAAATTATGATACGATAGAGGTAGACTTCTATAGTTTACACTACAAGAATTTAAGATACTTCTAGTCTAGAGAACTTTTTTACATCTAATAAAATGTATCTCTTTTTTTTTCTTTTTTTTTTTTCCCTTCAAATATCATATGACAACACATTTCTACGAGCATTATAACCTATTTTTGACATTTTGTTATATCAAAATTTCACTCACCTTATATTTTAGTTCATTATTTTTGGATTTTTTATTATTTTTATTATAAACTCCTAATGGCATCCTAAGGAAATATATTGGGAAGAAACTTTTGGAATCCCTTTGAATCGCTAAATTTACTGCTTTGGAATGAAAGTGTACCATGTTTAAGAACATGCATCCCAAAACGTAATTCGCTAGGGTATCAACATTTTTTTGGTAACACAGCTATGGTTCCCCTTCACTTGGCAGGTCGTCAAAAATGGAAACATCTTGGTTACAACTTGGTTGGCAACATCTTGATTACAACTTGGTTCCATCTCCTCCACTGAAAATGGAAACATGGCCATCATCATAGCTTTGTGGCTTAGTCTCCTCACTAAAGAGTACTTGTTGACGCTCACCATCAAAAGACTCGCTCATTCCAACACTAGTTGCATAACCATCTTGGATATAGTTATAGAATGGTTGGCCAAATTCAAAGATGCCTTGGTAACGATGCACAAATTTTGAAGCACATCCTCTGTTGTGGGTCTCCCAACAAAGGTTGTATGTGAGTCAATGGTGAGAATTGCTCACGGAGCTTCTTTTTCATTTTCCTCCACTCTTTAACCTTTCTTTGCCTACCAATTTGTAATTGTTTTCACCAATCGGAGGCACTAACTTTAAGCCGTTGAGAGACGAATTTCACCTTCCTTTCAGCACATCATGATACTCCAAAAGACTCTCAATCTTGTTCAACCATTCTTCAAACACATTTGAGAAATCGCTCCCATGGAACTTGGGAAGCACAAAATCTTTGACAATGTTTACCCGTTTAGATTCAAAATCATGTAGAAATGTTCTTCACCAATGCAAAACACCAAAAATTTGATGATCCTTGGTTCAGTCACTACCTTCGGTGAGAAATTGAAATTGTTGCATTCTCTCAATCAAGGTGGAAACTTGTTCACTCAACTCTTGATCTCATTTTGTGCATTTCGGCTTTTCATTGTTCCTTCCAAGCCAGCTTCTCTCGGTTTCGCCACCCAAATTCGTAGCAAATTTCCTACCTTGGCTAGCACCCTATCGACCTCTACCTCGTTGAGCTATCAATTCACAATCAACAAAAATTTAAAATATTGGTCACAAATGCGACATTGGTCAGTATAAACAAGCCACCAAAAACACTTAGTCAACCAGCACTTGTCAGAAGCAACACAGAGAAATCACCAAATTAACTCATGGACGGACTCAGTAAGTACAAATAGAAGATTAAAAGTCGCGCAAAATCAATACAGATCCGAGCCAAATTGAGAATCAAAATCAGAAGGCTAACTAGATGAGATCAGATCGAAGATGAGAAGCAAGGATCAGAATCGCATTGCAGAATCAAAGACCAGAACCATAGTTCAAAATTGATGAGTAGAATCATAACATGAAAGACAAACCAGTTTGCAAAGTCAAAGCACAACAAAGTCAAGATCGAATCAAGATCTCTCTCTGAATTCTCTGATCAAGTCGAAGCAATTGGTTGATTCAAAATTTTGCTTTTCATTCCTGCAGGGTTCGAGTCTAGGTCCAGGTGAAAACATCAAGTTGTGAAGTCGAATGATTGAGGTCGAGTTGTGATTCAATCATATAGACCTTCAGGCGAGCTCAACATAGATCTTCGAAGTCATGTAAAGGGAGCAAAGTCGAAGTTGAACTTCAAAGTCAAGTGGAGAACCAGATTCGCAACTGTAACCCAAGGTTTCGGATCACAATTGAAGTTTGGATTCGAATTGAATTTGAATCTTAACTGGGGGGTTTGATTCGAATTCAAATCTCAACCAGGAAGTGGATTCGAGTTCAGATCTGAACCATGGCTTCGGATCAAGGAAAATTGTCAACTAGTGTTTTAGATCTCAAGATCGAATCTCAAAACACGATGGCAGATTGCAACTCGAACTGGAGATCTTTTACAAATGCAACATGCAAAGCTCGACCATGGCTCAAGAACTCTACTCAAATTAGAGGTAAGCTGCAAATTGATAAATGACATATCGTAATTCACAAATGTGTTATACTGAATCAGAATTGAATAGCACCAAATAGAAATTATGGCTTATGAGCAAGTCGAATCTCAACTATAAAAATCAAGTTTGCTATTGCCTTCAATTCATTCAATTGATATATGAATTATAATCTAAACCTGAAGCTCTGATACCAAAGCTCTATTACAATATCAAAATATCATCAAAACTGACCACCAAAGACCTTAACCACCTATTTATAGGCTATTGCGAACTAAGCAACCTAAAAACGTAACAACCACACCAATTTTAACTTCATCAGCTGGATTTTTGGAGGGCTCTCCAATGGTGGTATCCCATCTATCATATGTAGTTGATATAGTGATCCTTTGTAGTATTGATTTGGTATTGTTGGGCACCTTTGATGTGCCTTACGCTTTGAGGTTGTCTTTGGTCTGAAGTTAAATTTGAAAAAATTAGAAAAATTGCAGATGGTATACGATTGGTAATAGTGCAAGCAGTGACCATAACATCACCCCAGAAATGCTTGGGAACTTATTTGTTAAACAATAAGGTACGGACAACATCTATTAAATGGCGATGCTTTCTTTAAGCAACACCATTTTGCTGAGAGGTGTGAGCATCTATGTTATACGGACTCGGCACTTTGGGGTGAAGTACCCCGTGTCGACACAACATGACACGGGTGCGGGTGTGGGATCTGTGTCGGATTCACCTCTTCTCTCTCGGACGTGGCTAATCAAAAAGGAAGAAGAAGGTTGAGATACTTACATTGATGTATGGGTTCAAGATCTTGATCGTGTCTTTCGGTCTTCTTTTCTCTCTCTATCACAGTCTCCTTCTCTCTCTCGATATCTCTCTCGATCGTGCTATGCTTGTGTGAGAGAAGAGAAGAGATAGACTCCATCGTGTTGCTGTGCGTGTGAGAGAGAAGCAAAGAGAAGGACAGACTGCATCGTGCTGCTGCT